CTGTCTGTTTGTGTATCGATTGATGGTAGACAATCTCCAAAACTATCGGACCGATTGTTGTCAAATTTTACATGTGTGTTTTGAATATCGTGTAGATGGTAAAACAGTAACCGCACTTCGTCTAATCATCCCTACCTACAATGTGATGACGTCAACTTAAAACTGTACTTAGTAAATGGGTTTTAAATTTTATAAAATAATACATATACTGCACGTGTAGTTTATGAATCCATGTTGAGTTTTTACCTAATACATCCAAATTTTTCGAAAAAAATCAGAATTGTAGAACAGTATTTTGTAGAGATGCCGACTAACCGACTAGCCGATTGTTCGGCCAATAAAAACCGACTAGTCGGCCGACTGTTCGGCTTTGCTAAAACCGGTTTATAAATGCGACAGACAGTGTGTTTTTTTTCTATTTCTCTGACTACCTTAAAAATTTGTTTTATTTTAATAAAAGGAATATCTAAAGTTCCTTTGTTTTCCAAAAAATGTGTTAAATTTATTTGGATAATTTTAACATTTATTTTTTTTTAGGAACTCAGTACAAAAATAAAGAATAACACAATTTAGAGCCAGTTTATACAATATTTTAACTGCGATTAAGTTGATCGCGCATTTAACAAGGCCATTAGCGACGTCTGATTGGCGTAGAGTCGGTCACATGGTACTTCAACGCGGGGTTAAAAATTAAATCGCAATTAAATATTTAATTGAGGTTCTGTAAACCGGGTTTAATTGTTAATTTTATATACTATTTTAATTTTAATAGAAAAAGCCGACCGATCGGCTGTTTAGCCGACCAGTCGCCGACTGTAGCCGACGATGAAAAACGGCCGAATAGTCGGTACATCCCTAGTATTTTGTAATTTAAGTTTGAAACTGCAAAACTGAATGCTCCTAAATTTTTCAAACTTTTTAACATTATTGTAAACATGGTAAAACGTTAATCAAAATTTATCTGTTTAACTCATCCAAAAAAAATAATTACGTCATCTCAAAATTTTGCTTAGTAAATTCCCTCTGAAGTGTAGAAACTATTCGACTTGTACGACTCTCTACTTGTGGCTTCTCAATGCATTCATAATTTTAAGAATTACTTATACAACCTGACTCAAAAAATTAATGAATATTTTATTGATCACATGAAATTTGAGTATACACTTTACAGTACTGTTAATGTTAGTATTAGTCAAATTAAAATACGTGTCCTTGCTAAAATGTTGTTACGGAAAAACTCACTTGAAATGTATACATGGCATGCTTCTTAACATTATTAAACTTATTTTTTTACATTTATACAGAAATTTTTTTACTTATTCGATTTTTCAAAATATTGCGACTTTTTAAATCTTACATTTTTCGATTTTTCAGTTTTTAGATTTTCCGGTTTTTCAATTTTTCGGGATTAATTTTTTTTTTAAGTTCCAATTTTTCAATTTTGAGTCTTCCCATTTTCGATTTTTAGCCACTTCCATTTCTTAATTTTTCGATTTGATTTCTCAGTATTTCGATACATCTTTTCGATTTTTCGATTTTACAATTTTTCAACGTTTCAGTTTTGGGATTTACGTATTTAAATTTTTCGATTTTTCAATTTTTGACGTTTCTGAATTTTTGGATTTTTCGATTTTTTAATTTCTCTTAATTTTTAATTTTTTCGACTTTTCGATTTTTCGCCTTTCCGATTTCTCAAATTTTCAATGTTAAGTTTTGGAATTTTTCAATATGTATTTCGGCCTTTTACATCTTACATTTTTCGATTTTTCAGTTTTTTTATTTTTCGATTTGTCGATGTTTTGATTGCTCGATTTTTTAAATTTTCAATTTTTCAAATTTTTAAATTTTAGATTTTTTACTTTTTTGTTGTTCGATTTCTGATCTTCCAGTTTTTTGCCTTCTCATTTTTAGATTTTTCATTTTTCCATTTGTCGATCTTTAGCTATTTCAATATCTCAATTTTTCGATTTTTTGACTCCTCGACTCTCTTGATGTTTCGATTTCAGGTTTTTTCAATTTTTTGATTTCCATTTCTCGATTTCTCAATTTTTCGATTATTCGTCTTTTCGATTATTCGAGTTTCCAATTTTTCAATTTTTGGCATTTCTAAATTTTTGGATTTTTGAATTTTTAGATTTTTCGACTTCTGTTTTTTTTTATTTTTTACTAACTAGATTTTTCAAAATTTTGCGAGTTTTTAAATCTTACATTTTTCAACATTTGTTACTATTCGATATTTTAATTGTTGGATTTCCGGATTTTTAGATTTTTAAAATGCGTTTTTTCAATTTTTCGGTTTTGGCAATATTTTGATTTCTCCTTCAAAAACGAAACATCACATAGTATTTAAAGAAATGACGCAAGGAGCCCTAAAGATTCTGTAAAATTTTTTCCAAATAAAGAACTCCACGGATTCTCGAGATTTTTTTAAGTATTTTAAAAACAAAACACAACAGGCTCCGCAAAAAATTAGTCTAAAGTTATTTAGACAGATCTTCGCTCGCCTCTGAAGTAAAAATATATATTATATTATTAGTACAACTTCAGTTGTTTATGTTTATACATCGAAATAATGCCAAAAATAAGCACGCAGCAAATTGTCTCCACAAAACAGAGGAAGCCATTAAAAATTTGTCCCTAGGAAGTAAAATTATTTTATCCTCCATGTAAAACAATAAGATTTATCAAAATTTAGCGAAGTCTGACCTTCTTTAGTTAGATTTGTTTATTGTGTGGGAACAAACATCTCCTACTGAAGTATACAGTTTTCATACTTCATGTTTACATGTTTTCTCGACGTTCATGATCCTAGAATGTGGAAAAAGGGGTCTTCCGTTTCTATCTGTCTTCTATATTAATATGCATGAAAAGTAGGGACCAATTGTTATCAGATTTAGTATGTATTTTAATAATACCGTGTAGGCAGTTAAACACTAAACAAAATTTGTCTAATCTTATCAATCTCATACTTGTAAATTTATTGCAAGTGTGACGGTAAGCTTTAAGGCAATTTTGAAAACAATAATCGTCAACGTAAATTCCCGGCCTTGATATTTGCAACCTAAGGTCCGCACACTTCTGGATTAGTCCGCGGAGTCAAAAAATAACTGAATGAGGCAATTTATTTTATTGAGCAAATCAAGAATGGTTTACCGCATTTATATAATTGGAAATAATCTTTTTCAAACATTTAGATCAGATTTTATAAATTGTCAGTATTAATGTTAAAAGTTAGGCGATATTATGAAACCAGTTTTTACCCACTGGAATACCTATAAGATTGATTATAGTTATTTGCTATAATTCCAAGTTACATATGGAAACTTGTAGCGCCCGATTTGAAAACACGAATGATACAAAAAGAGAGAAATTTTCCAGTATTATAATAAAGTAGTTTTAATTTCATACATTCTTTTACAAAAAACGTGTGGTATGTCCAAATTTCGTATAAAAATACTTTCTCTTCAATTAAAAATAAAATATTAAAACGCATTCCCATAATGTTTTTCTTGCACAATTCTGAGCTTTTCTTCTTACCATAAACAGCATGTGTTGAAATAACATCATTATCACACGTAATTCGATACGTGAGAGACCTTTCTTTCAAAAAATACACGAAACTGTCATAAATCAGTCGGCGTTTTCATAAATCCCACTCTAAATCGACAAATTTTCCCCATTAAGTTGAACAAGAAGCTCTAACAGTGTTATTCGCAATTTATCAAACACTATAAATTAATCACATTTGACACAAATCACGCCTGAACGGTACCTCTACAAGACTTACAATACTTATTTTATTATCCTTGGCGATAATAATTGTACGGGATGTGCCCGAGAATTTTAGCACCACATTCCAGTACATCGAGCGGAGTGACATTTGAATAAACAATGGTCATTTGTCCCCTTTAACCCTGAGGTATGAACGACAACAACGGAAACCCACATTCGATGACCGAGAAAATCTAATCTTTACAACCGCAGGTTAAGATTCATGGCCATTGGCCATTGTCTCTTTCTTGTTAATTCGTTCCTGCGTCGTGTAGTGCGTAATATATTGCCTCCACAATCATTTGTTTTGATTAAATGTCAAAGGCTCCGTTGCATTCTTGCATTAACAATGCAAAAAAGTAATTATGACATGTTGGAACGGAATTGCTGGATGGGATGATTTAGACGTGACGTGACTGACATTCGTAACGAGGAAGCGGGAAATTACTGTGTTTAGTTTGTCGAAAAATTGTGCGTATACGGTTGTTCGACAGCTGAAGGGAAATTATAGGCAGCAGATTTTTATGTTGCGTTTAGCGCGGTGCAAAAGAAATAAAATAATGGCGGTGGAGATACGTTGCTTGACTGAGAAATTGTTCTGCTGTCTTTTGATAATCAATTGATGTTGTGAGCTATCGAGCAAAACGAAACTTATCATTTTCTTTTTAAGCCTAGCAAAAGCTTTTAAGCTTTCGATCATCTCTGCTATAATTATGCTATCGCTACTTAACCCTAATTACCATTGTCGAATGATTAGCTAAAGGATCATCCAAATGGACTCACGCCCCATGTCGCTATCAACTCCACATTCTACAAACCATTCGTCTCGAGGACACTCAAATTACCAAGTAAAATCAACAATTTACAAGCATCGACTTTAGAAAGTTAATTGTGAACAATCCGACATCTTCATAACTCGGATGTTAACTCAGTGATTTACCAATCTTCTAATACATATATCTAATGAAGTCGTTTGGATAATAACCTGAACGCTCACCAGGCTTATTACACACTCAATTAGATTCACACTGAGCGAACAGTTGTCATATTACCATAATATTTAAATTCGAGTCGTGGTGCGACTTATTCAAGTCTTTATCAGTGTGGTCACGGCTCTGTCTTGTTGAAAACATGCTAAAAAATGGGAAAAAGAGAAATGTGGCGACTGATTAATGAATGAGAAGATGTGGTTAGCGCTTGGTTTGATGTTTTTGTTCTTTTTGTTGCAGGCACTGCGGATAATGACGGAAGACCGATTGTTTTGTGCTATGCGGAGTGTGTCGCAAGAGCTGGACTCAACAAGTACGAGATCGCCAAGCTCCTGTTGTACTACTCTTCGATACCCACGTAAGTGTTTGGTCGAGATTCTAGCTCTTAGTGAAGTTATCTGTTAATCTTGGAGCAGAGCGATTTAAAAACTTTGATTTTATCCAGATAAGAAAAACATGTTTTTTTGCTTGATTTTAAAATTTTTTAGATGTGGGTAAAATTCGTCCTAAAAGGAAGAAATATTAAAAAAAAGAAATTTTGTGTCCAAAATTGTTATATGGATCAAAATATCACAAATTGTTAAAGTTGAATAATGAACTAAAAAAAATAGAGGGGCTCAATTTGGATCGATCCTATAGGATTTTATTTGCATTTTTTTTTTTTTTTTGTATTTCTGTTATTTTAAATTATTCAAAAATATTTCGAAATTTCTGGAACATAATTCCAACTTTAAAATAAACTTGGGATTCCGACTTGATATAAACTTGATCTCCTCTTTGCAAATATGACTTACGAACATGGAATTCCGACTTTTATACAAACTTGGAATTTTTTTTTCCAGTTTTGTAACACGAAATTGTAACTTGAAATTGTACTTTAAAACTCATAATTATTTTTTTTATTTTGCTTATGTAATTGGTATTTGTTTTTCTGAAATTCCGACTTTAAAACAAACTTACTTAGAATTGCGACTTTCATAGAAACTTGGATACTTTTTTCTGATTTACCTTATGATTATAAGTCAACATTTCCGTTTTGGGCCCCGTAATTCCAACTTTAAACTTCATAATAATTTTTTATTTTACATAGGTAAGTGAGGTTATGTTCATCTTCAGGAATTCTGATTTCAGTATGTGGAGTTTCGACTTTAAAACTCGGAATATTTTTTCGAGTTTAATAACTCAGAATTTCGATTCTACAACTCGGAATTCCAGCTTTAAAACTCATAGTTATTATTTTTCTTATTTTACGTTTTTATAACTCAGAACTTCGCTTCTGGAACTCAGTATTATATTTTCATGTTTCATTTACTTAATTGAGATTTCTTCTTCTGGAATTACGACTTTAAAACAAAGTTGAAACAATTTTTTCCGACTTTATAAGTCGGCATTTCGGTTCTGGGACTCGGAATTCCAATTTTAAAACTCAGTCATTTTCCTATTGTACTTGAGTAAAAGGTTTCATCTTCTGGAGTCCCGATTTAAGTATATAGTCTTCTGACCTTAAAACTTGGAATAATTTTTTCTGGTTTAATAACTCAAAATTTCGATTCTATAACTTGCAATTTCAACTTTAAAACTCATAATTTTAATTTTTTTAATTTTATTTATGTAATTGGTATTTCTTCTTCTGGAATTCTGACTTACGACTAAAATCGGAATAATTTTAATTTTTTTCCGGTTTTATAATTTAAGGTTTCTGGAACTATAACCTTAAAACTCATAATTATTTGTTCCTGTTTTATTTGTTTAATTGGCATTTCTTCATATGGAATTCCGAATTAAACAAAACCTGGAATACCGACGTTAAAACAAACTTGAAATAATATTTTCCCACTATGTGGCAGCATTTCGATTCTGAAACAAAAATTTCAGCTTTAAAACTCTATAGTAAATTTTTTACTTTCCTTATTCTGACTTAGGAATAGGGAATTCCAACTTTAAAATTCGGAATACAATTTTTCTGATTCCAAAACTCATAATTATTTTTTAAGACTTTACTCATGTAATGGAGATTTCTATTTCTAGAATTCTGACTTGTGAATAGGGAATTCCAGGTTTAAAACTCGGAATTTCGATTCTGAAATTCGAAATGATAGCTTTACAGCTGATAATTATTGTTTTTAATTTAGTTATGTATTTGGATTTCTTCTCGAAGCCTAACTTAGGAGCGTGGAATCCCAACTTTAAAAATCAGAATCAAAATTTTTCCAGTTTCAAAAGCCATCATTATTTTCTACGACTTCACTCATATAACTGAGATTTCTACTTCAGAATTCTGACTTAAGAAGAGGGAATTCATGCTTTAAAATTCGGAATATTTTTTCCGGTTCTCTAATTGGGAATTTCATTTCTGGAATTCGCAATTCCAGCTTTAACAATCATAATTATTTTTTTTTTATTTTGTTATGTAGTTGGGATTTCTTCTTCTAAAATTCTGATTTAGCAACATGGAAGTCCTACTTTCAAACAAATTTGGAATTCCCAGTTTAATAGAAACTTGGAATTCACTTTAAAAAAACCCGGAATAATTTTTTCGGATTTTATAAGTCAGCATTTCGTTTCTGAAATTCCAAATTCCAACTTTAAAACTCTAATATTTTTTTTACTTTCCTTGGGTAACTGAGATTTCTACTTCTGGAATTCTGACTTAGAAATAAAGAATTCGAATTTTAAAATACGGAGAACAATTTTTCTGATATCAAACCTCATAATTATTTTTTAAAACATTCATGACGATTTATACTTCTAGAATTCTGACTTTGGAATAGGGAATTCTATGTTTAAAACTCGGAATAATTCTTTCCAGTTCTGTAACTCGGAATTTCGATACTGGAATTCGAAATTCTAGCTTTAAAACTGATAATTATTGTTCTTAAGGTAGTTACGTAATTAGAATTTCTTCTCGAATTATGACTTAGAAGCGGGGAATTCCAACTTTAAAATTCGAGATCAAAATTTTTCCGGTTTCAAAAGCCATAATTATTTTCTACGACTTGACTCATATAACTGAGATTTCTACTTCAGAATTCTGACTTAAGAAGAGGGAATTCAAGCTTTAAAATTTGGAATACAATTTTTCCGGTTCTCTAATAGGGAATTTCATTTCTGGAATTCGCATTTCCAGCTTTAACAATCATAATTACTTTTTTTAAATTTAGTTATGTAGTTGGGATTTCTTCTTCTAAAATTCTAACTTTCAAACAAACTGGGAATTCCGAGATTAATAGACAATTGGAATTCTTACTTTAAAAAAACCCGGAATAATTTTTTCCGATTTTATAAGTCAGCATTTCGGTTCTGAAACTCGGGATTCCAACTTAAAAATTCTAATAATTTTTTAACTCTACTTGGAACAGAGATTTTTACTTCTGGAATTCTGACTTAGGAATAGGGAATTCCAGCTTTAAAATTCGGAATAATTTTTTCCGGTTTTAAAACTCGGAATGTGGATTCTGGAATTCGGAGTTCTAGCTTTAAAACTGTTAATTATTGTTCTTAATTTAGTTACAGAATTAAGATTTCTTCTTGAATTCTGACTTAGGAACATTGAATTCGAATTTTAAAATTCGGAATCAAAATTTTTCTGGTTTCAAAACTCATAATTATTTTCTAAGACGTCACTCATATAACTGAGATTTTTGCTTCGAATTCTGACTTAAGCAGAGGAAATTCAAACTTTAACATTTGAAATATTTTTTCCAGTTCTGTAATTGGGAATTTCAGCTCCGGAATTCGGAATACCAGTTTTAACAATCATTACCATATTTTTTAATTTAGTTATGTAGTTGGGATTTCTTCTTCTAAAATTCTGACTTATCAACATGGAATTCCTACTGTCAAGCAAACTTGGAACTTCGAGTTTAATAGAAACTTGGAAATCCAACTTTAAAACTCTAATAATTTTGTTATTGTACTTGGATAGCAGAGAATCTAAGTCTACTTCTATAATTCTGACTTAGGAACAGGGAACTTCCAACTTTAAAAATCCGGAATACAATTTTTCCGGTTCCAAAACTCATAATTATTGTCTACGACTTTACTCATGTAATGAAGATTTCTACTTCTAGAATTCTGACTTGAAAACAGGGAATAGCTCTAAAACCCGGAATAGTTTTTTCCGTTTCTGAAGCTTGGAATGTCGATTTTGGAATTCCATATTCTAATTTTAAAACTGATAATTATTGCTCTTAATTTAGTTATGTAAATAGGATTTCTTCTCGAATTCTGACTTAGAAACATCGAATTCCAACTTTAAAATTCGGAATGAAATTTTTTATGGTTTCAAAACTCATAGTTAATTTCTACGACTTCACTCATACTGAGATTTTTACTTCTGAATTCTGATTTAAGAAGAAGGAATTCAAACTTTAAAATTCGAAATATTTTTTCCGGTTGTGTTATTGGGAATTTCAGTTCCGGAATTCCGAATTCCATCTTTAGCAATTATAACTATTTTTTTTTTTTTAATTTACTTATGTCATTGGGATTTCTTCTTCTAAAATTCCGAGTACCATTTTTTCTGTTTTTTTTTTTTTTTCAATTTTGAACGCCGGAATTCGAACTTTAAAACCCATAATTATTTTTCTTATTTTACTTATACAATAGGAATTTCTTTTTCTGGAATTCTAAATTAATTAGGAACATGGAATTATGTCTAAAATCAAAATAATTTTTGTCTTAATTTCTAACTCAGGATTTCGATTCTAGAACTCGAAATAGCTACCTTAAATAAAACTCCTAATTATATTTTCTTTTTTTACTGGTGTAATTGAGATTTATATTTTTGGAGTGCTAATTTACGAATATGGAATCCCGACTTTAAAATTTGGAGTAAAATTTTTTCGGCTTCAAAACTCATAATTGTTTTCTACATTTTTAGACTGATGTAACTGAGCTTTCGACTTCTGGAATTCTGATTTAGGCATATAACATTCCGACTTTAAAACAAAGTTGGAATAATTTTTCCATTTCTATGACTCAACGTTTCGACTCTGGAATTTGCTAATTGTAACTTTAAAACTTATAATTATTTTTCTTATTTTAGTTGTATAATTGAGATTCCGCTTTCGAAATGCTGATCTACGAACACGAAATTCTAACTTAAAAATTCGGAATAAAATTTTTGAGGCATCAAAACTCAGAATTATTTGCTCTGTTTTTACTCTAGTGAGATGGAGGCTTCCGTTTGCGGAATTCTGACTTAGGAATATGGAATTCCGACTTTTAGACAGGGAATAATTTTTCCTGGTCTTATAACACACTATTTCAATTCAAGAACTACCTACGACTCCAACTTTAAAACTCATAAATATTTATTTTTCTTGTGGAATTCTGACTTAGGAATATGGAATTTCGGCGTTGAAACTCAGGATAATTTTTTTCTCTTTTGCAACCTCGACTTTCGATTCTGGAATTCGGAATTCCAACTTGAGAACTTCTGTTCTGCTTAATCTTATGTTTTATGTATTTACTTATTAGTTTGTAGTTAGGTATATTTGTACTTTCTTTATTGGTTTTCTCTTTGTTTGACGTTTACAAACTCACATGTAGCTATGTGATTGTTTCGAACAAAGGTGCAGACATTACATTACTTTTATAGCTGAGATTTAAATTTTTGGAATTCTGATTTAGGAATATGAAATATCGAGTTTAGAAACCGGAATAAATTTTTCCGGTTTTGTCGGATTTTCCATTCTGAAATTCGAAATTCAACTTCAAAAATCACGTTACTTTATCCGGCTTTTCTCACGTAAATGAGATTTTTGCGTCTTTTACTGATACATTGAAATCCGGTTTTAAAAATTGTAATACCAGCTTAATGCTTCTAGAGCTCGTAAATCTTGTCGCAGAATTGAATAACTAGTACCACTGTCATAGAAGTAGGCAATGTAGAACAAAAATCAAAAAAGAAAAAATACAATATACAGATTTTTTTTATTTATTTAAAAAATTGTGTGTTGAAACAAAAAAAAATGAATGATGCAAGAGTCGTTTTTGCAGAAAAGATTTATGCGTTAAATTAATTATGAAATGTCTTCTGTGTAGTCTAAACAGTTCTGTATATCTCCTATCAAAGTATGTCAACTGCTTAGTGCAGAAAAAAAATGTTATCACTAAAAATATATTTAGTAATAAACTGACAAATTAGAACACTATATGAATTTACAAATTTTTCTTCCTTGTAGTATGTGGTGTTACATTAAAAAAGATACAACTTTGTAGTCAGTCATGGATACCTACATGCAACGACAGCTTGTAACCAGCATTTTTCTGCTTCCACACAAAGTGAACTCTGTATAACAGTGAACCGCTAATGAAAGACTTCGAATAGAAACTTTGTATCTGAGTGAAAATTGAATCAATAAAACAAGCCTTAATAACCTAACCTTCCTGACATCCAACACCGCAAAAACCTTAAATTCCAATACCAAAGCGTCGATATCGCCTCGTTAGCGGCTAGTTAAAACCCTATTACAAGAATCCTCTATAATCATCAATAAATAAATGGCAATGCGAACGCACTAAGTGATGCATAGAATCGCCGTAATTGCTAGATTACCGACTAGAAGTCCTCTTCGACTTATTCACCTCTTTGCCGTTTACACGCAACTGATAAGAATGGCAAAATTGCAATTACATACTTGTAAACGCAAACATTGCACCGTTCCGGCTTTATCTCTCGTTCCATATCTTCTTAAATAGGATTGGTACTCATCGGTGAATTCTAACCCGTTAGCTCGCCGCGTGTTCCGACTTGTTTATGGATGCCACTGCAAAAATCGCAATCGAAAGGGGTCAACAGAGCCGACCAAAGGACATTACCGAGCTGTTGCGCTAATCGTGGGATAGCGATTGTGGGTTCAGGCGGAAGTGACACCGACTTTTTCCTTCGGAGGGCTTGGCTGCTTTTGGGCATGAGTATGCATGGAAAATGGTACATACCACGAAAAAGGAACGACGAAACCGCACAAGATAATTGTTTTCGAAAAGGAAAAACAATAGTGGGACCAGACTGCACCTTTGCGGTATGCAAGTGTCGGGGTGAACGACTTTGGAGCAAGTGGCGCATTTAAACTGCTCTGGATCAGTTAAATTGGAATTAATTAACAACAAATGGAATTGGAAATAACGTTAAAGGTATAATTACACATCGGAACATTGCACGAGCCAAGTCTCAAACATAATAAATCAAGTGGACTGCGTTTGTCGGAAGATGTGTTTGATTCAAAAGGTGACCCCTTCGAGGCGTACAACCGTGTAATCTTGGCTTAACGTTGCATCGGTAATTGCGATTTTTGGAAATACTGCACACTCGTTGACCTGCATTTCAGGCTGTGATTGACGTCGCCTTATTATGTTGAAAAATGGTCTCAATTATTTTAATTTATCAGCAGCAGCTGCCACATCTCGGTGGCGTTTCAATTCCGTCTAAACTTTGACCTAACCTCTATAATTTGATTGATTGTGAACTACATGTTGAGTAAGATAAGTAAAGAAAAAGCTTCTCTTTCCAACAAGAGGATCGATCTGTTTCTTTCTCGTGCTTGAGTAAATTGAACCACCATCTGCACATACATTATGAAGTACGGTAGTAAAAGCAGTGCTCGGGGGCACCAAAGCGATTATGAAACGTTCCACACACGTCAAAAATTTCCATTAATACGCAAATTTGACGTATTTTGAATTATCGATACGCTGAACAAACAGTGCGTGGGTAATTACCTCGTTCATTGAAAGTAACAGCGAGGTTTTCTTCGACTTGTTCAAAACTAATTATTTATTTGACACCGTTTTATTTCCATTATTAGAATTTCTGACAGGGAAACCAGTTGTTTCAAGTAGCCGATTTCATTTCTCTTTTGATTAATTATAGCAATAACCCTGCAAGGTTCATGGCGCTGATCATAAATCAATCTAATCGCGAGTTTGACGCGCTGTTGATTCTTCTTTCTTCTTTTTTCCAGACTCGACTGCACGAAGAAAGGGTTCACGATTTTGCTTCTAGCCGAAAACGAATCCAACTACAAAGTCCTGGAACTTCTGGACAAGTCCGTGTTGTTGATAGCCAATAGTATGAAAGTGGCGAGGTTCTTGGTCTGGAAACCGGGAGCCGATAAGAAGAGTCAAGTGGTAACTAGTCGAATTCAGGTAGGTACTATCTTGGAGTACGAAACGTACGTCGTTCAAGTGACCACACCTCGTAAGTCGTTACTACTCAACATGTGTGTTGATTGACTACGATATCTGACACCGTTATTCTTCTGTCGGTCATCACCGTCAGTTCTTGAATACATTAAGTATGTATGTGGACGGTGATGAGTCGGTTAATTTCAAAGTACTTTAGCTCATTATCCGCCGGGACTTTTGGACTGACTGTGAAGAATCGAGACATGTCACACTGTTGATTAAGTGATAAGAAATGTGTTTACGTGGTGGAATGAGTAATGAAGATACGTGAATTTTGTTGTACCTCGTAGACAGTAAAAATAGAATACACGGGGTACTTTTTTTGGAGGTCTAAAGCGCTAGTAAAAAACGGCGTCATGAGGCAAAATCCCATAAGCTACGATTACGAGTCGTAATTAAAATGGATAAAAGGTTATTTACCTCGGATTACCTTGACGACATGGCGGCATAAAGAAAAGTTTATGATGTTGACGGTTGTAAAAAAAAACGATATTAAATTATTGCTGCCTTGCCTCCGAAGCAGTGCGAATACCAACTGGCGCGTTATTAATTTGTACAAAACTTACTGTGGTCTCAGAATTTCAATCAATGTTAGTGCCGTCAGGTTTATTCTTAAGTTATTTAGTAATTTTTGGAATAAATTGCAAAATTTAATGGTACGAATTAATTTTCAGTGGGATTTTTAAATTTTTCCCAAATGTTACTGTAGGTTGTGGAAGCATATTTTTTATTTCCCGTATTTTTTATATTCATATTGCTTGATATTTTCGTTTTCACTTTTAATTTTACAGTTTATTTTTCATCAGATCACATTTTTATTATTTTTATTGATTCTGAGTGTGATTATCTCTTTTGGATGAAGAAGAATCCGCTGGTCAGAGGTCCTCGGACCGTCTAGACTTTTTTTTATTTCTAATCGGCACTTCCGAAAAACGACACCATCCCATATAATCGTCTGTCGATTCCAAACAGATCTAGAATTTGGCTTGAAAATCAACCACCTCGATTTAAAAAATCCAAGAAATCCAATGCTAAAAACCGGAATCCGGTATCTTATCACATTTCGGATTTATGTCCCCTGAAAATGGGAATTTGTTTTATGAGTATGGGTGTTGATCGCTGAAATTAAAAAAAGAATCACGAAGTTGCAGAGGGCTTTTTTTCAGCCCGGATTCTTATACAAAAATTTAGAATTATTAAAGAGAGCTGTTTTCCGACAGATCGAGAGAATTTTTTGTTATTTAATTTTTTTATCTTGAATACTTTCATTTTTAAACCATGTCATTCTGTTTCGTTTAAACGGACTCCGATTAGTCTGAAAAGTGTTCTTTTAGCCATTTCGAATCTCCTGAACACGAATCCGCTCTCTAAACATGTCTCCAAGACCCTCTGGATTTTTTTTAATTATTGGACAATCGACAGCTTCTGAAAAATGACACCGTCCGATATAATCGTCTGTCGATTCCAAACGGATGTAGAATTCGGCTTGAAAATCAATCAACACGATTAAAAAAGTCCAAGAAATCGAATACTGGAAACCGAAATCCAATTTCCCATCATATTCCGGAATTATGTCCCCTCAAAAATTAAACTTGTTTTTTGAGTATGGGTGTTGATCGCTGAAGTTTTTTTTTTAATCAGGAGGTTAAAGGAGCTTTTTTCTAACCAGGATTCTTGTTCAAGAGTTTCGAATTAGTAAAGAGAGCTGTTTTCACACAGATCTAGAGAATTTTTTATTAATAATTTCGGGGGCTTTCACAGTATTAATTTTTTTTTTTTGAATAGTGAAAATTTTCAGATTTAAACTATGTCAAGCTATTTCGTTTAAACGAACTTAGACTTGTCGAAAGATTGTACTCTTAACCAACTCGAATCTTTTGAACAAGACTTCGCTCTCCAGAGCTTCTATTTTTTTTTTATTTTAATTTTTTAAAATCGACATTTCTGAAAAACGACACCGTCACATGTAACCGTCTGTTGGTTCCAAACGGATGTAGAATAAAAGCTTGAAAATCAACTAATACGATTTAAAAAAATCCAAGAAATCAAATGCTGAAAACCGGAATCCGGTATCTCACCGTATTCCGGAGTTATGTTCCCTCAAAATTAGAACTTGTTTTTTGAGTACCTATGGATGTTGATCGCTGAAATTAAAAAAAAAAATCCGGAAGTCCCAGGGACTTTTCTAGCCCGGATTCTTGTTCAAGAGTTTCGAATTAGTAAAGAGAGCTGTTTTCAGACAAATCTAGAGAATTTTTTGGTATTTATTTTTTTTTGAATTGTGAAAATTTTCACATTTGGACCATTTCAAGCTATTTCGCTTAAACGGACTCCGATTTGTCTGAAAATTGTTCTGTCAACCAATTTGAATCTCCTGAAGAAGGCTTGACTCTCTAAATATGTGTATCTCCGGAGCCTATAGATTTTTTTTTATTTTTAACGATCAGCAATTCCGAGAAACGACACCGTCCGACATAACCGTCTGTCGATTCCAAACGGATGTAGAATTCGTCTAAAAAATCAACTAAAATAATCCAAGAAATCGATTAGTGAAAACCGGAATCCGGTATCTCATCACTTTTGGAGCTAGGTGCCGTCAAAATAGAAATTTGTTTTTTTAGTATGGGCGTCGATCGATGAATTTTTTTAAAAAAAATTCAGGAGGTCCCAGGGAGCTTTTTCAGCACGGATTCTTGTTCAAAGCCTTCGAGTTAGTAAAGGCAGCGGTTTTCAGACAGGTAGCGAGAATTTCAAGTTATTTCCTTTAAACGCACTCCAATTTGTCTGAAAACTGAATCCGTTCTTCAAGCATATCTCCGAACTCTCTGGATTGTTTTTAATTATTATTATTATTTTTTTTTTAATAAATTTATTGAGTACCATGAATAAAAAAAAAAAAACAAGTAAACGAAAATAAATAAATAATGCATAATACTCAAAAGGGAAAAAAAACAGATTCAGTATTACTGATTTACAATCTGTCCCTATGTTGAAAAGAAATGGAAATGAGATATGAAATACAAGTTGTAAATATGAAAGAGGAACATAATTTTTTATAGATAGTATTAAAGGTACAGAATTTAAAAAAGATTTAAATTTAATTTTAATTTTATTTCTGCTTGCTCAGCCAATAAGAGATCCTTTACAGATTTGATGATGTAATGGTTATTTAAGTTGGAATAATGACGTAAAACGTTATTTATGACATATGCAGCTAAATATGAAAATGACGATTTATATGAACTCAAAGAATGAGAAGGTATGTCAACAGTCAGATCTATTTGTCGCAGGTTTCTGTCATGTACAAAACTACGAATTGAAATTTTATTTTGCAGATAGTGAGGCTCATTATGAAGTCGGATTTTTGTTATGAGTTTGATAAAGTGATGAAAACGTCTTTCATGCATTTTCATCCAGCCTAAATTCCGTACAAAAGGTGTAATGTGGGTGTCACGTGGAATAGAATAAATATATCTCACACAAAAGTTTTGAATCTTTTGCAAACGATATTTGTCCACACAAGATAGACAGGGACCATATACTATGTCAGCATAGTTTAAATGTGAAAGTATCAAGGCATCAGTCAACAGGCGTTTGGAGCGAATGTCTAAAAGGTTCTTATAAGGGGAAATCAATTTGAATCCATTAAATGTGGTTTGGCAGATCTTATTTATATGGTCAGTAAATTTTAGCTGATTATCAATATGTAACCCAAGACTTTTAACTACTCGGGCAGAAGAAATAGTGGTACCTCCAATATGAAGATTAAGATCTGAGTTTATTGCTCTTATTTTATTTGGTGTACCCAAAGTAATTGAAATAGTTTTTGCAAGATTTAAGGAAAGACAGTTCTTACAAGTCCATTCACGTGAACGTTCAAGATCTGAGTTATTTTTTTCTGGAGCGTTATGTTCAGATACAGGATTAAAAGAATAATAAATTTGAAAGTCGTCAGCATACATATGAAGTTGACAATGTTGAAGATATTTAGGGAAGTCAGCCGTATAAATAGAAAACAAGACAGGACCTAGTACAGATCCTTGAGGTACACCATTTTTTATTGTAAGAGGTTTAGAAATAGAACCATGACAGGATACGACGATATTTAATGATCGACACTTCTGGAAAATGAAACCATCCGATATAATCGTCTGTGGATTCCAAACGGATGTAGAATTCGGCTTGAAAATCAAGCAACACCATTGAAAAAATCGAAGAAATCGAGTGGCGAAAATCGGAGTCCGGTATCTTATCAGATGCCGGAGTTAAGTGGCGTCAAATTTGAAATTTGTTTTTTGAGTATGAATATTTATTTATTTATTTGTTTATTTTTTTAATTCAGAAGTTTCCAGGGACTTTTTTCTTGTTCAAGAGTTTCGAATAAATAACGAAAGCAGTTTTCAGACACATCGTGAGAATTTTTTGTTATTTAATAATTTGAAATCATGAATATCTTCAAATTTAGACCATGTCGAGGTATTTCGCTTAAATGGACCCCAATTTGTCTGAAAATTATTCTCTTAACCAATTCGAACCTGCTGAACAAGACCGTGCTCTCCAAATATGGCTCCGAAGCCTCTTGATTTTTTTTTTTAACGGTCAACACTTTTGGAAAACGACACCGTCTGATATAACCGTCTGTCGAATTCAAACGGATGTGGATCGTGAAAATCAACCAACACGTTTTAAAAAATCCAAGAAATCGAGTGCTGAAAACCGGAATCCGGTATCCCATCACCTTCCGAAGTTATGTCCCCTCAAATTTGAAACTTGTTTTTTGAGTATGGGTGTTGATCGCAATTTTTTTTTTAATATTCAGGAGGATTTGTTTCGAGTCCTTGTTTAAAAGCTTCGAATTAGTTTTCCGACACAGGGAGAGAATTTTTTGTTATTAAATTTTTTCGAATCGTGAAAATGTTCACATTTAGACCATTTCCAGCTATTTCGCTTAAACGAACTCC